CAGGGTTAATTGACTCTTCTAAAAGAGACAGGAAATGTGTGAAAGTTTCATGAGTGGTGAACTCTCATAAGTACATTACAATAGGTCTTTGTTTACAGAGGCAAAGAGATTAGGAGACTTCACAGTAATTGGAGAGAGCATTTATTTAATTATAGATATTTTCACTGTAATTTCAGAGGAAATACCACACAATTACATAAACACTGAATATAATATTTTTTAATTTGCATAGTATGTGGTTAGATCTATACTCTAAAATAAACCAGAGCCATAATTATATATACTTTTGAAGTTAATACCTAATCTTTTCACCAAATATAACTATTATTTTATTTGTAAATATGTTAGCATATCAACACTTTTGAGCCACTAATATATGGGGACTTGTTGAGAATAATTATTTATATTTCCTTCCCCTTTTGAAAATATCTACATGATTTCACCTGGTTAATATTTTAGAAGAACATAATTGGCGACATTTTTTAAAATTCCATGTTTTAAAATTGTATCTAAAGTTCTATGTGGAATCCACGGCTTACTGTTTGGAACCTACCAGTCTATTTATTTCAAGAACGTTCCTTTCCACTTTGAAACCTAATTGATATGTTTATTCTGCTTCATAATTTTATGCACACTGAAGTGGTTTGGGTTCAGTGTCCATTGCTAATATAATTTTAAACTTTTTCTATAATGTAATTTTTATAACTGCCAGATCAAAGAATTGATTTACTCATTTGGATCCTCTACAATATACAGTGGATCTTTGGAAGAAAGGGGAATGTTTTCTAGCCTAAGTGAAAGAGTTTCTGGGGATTGAGTGCACTTCATTTTTGAAAACTTAATTATCTTAATCCATTTTCATTGATCATCTACTATGATCAAGGCAGAGGAATTTACACAGGAGCTGGAATGATCTCTGCCTTCAGAGAATTTACAAAGTCTGGAGGGAGATATGACAGGTGCACCGTTAAATAGGATAGAAAACAAGACAGAAGTGAAAAGTTTTATCACCAGGAAATGAACAAATTCAGAAAAAATGAAACTGCAAAAATGTTGAGAGGCAAGAAACAAAGGGGTTTAGGCCTCTTGCCCCTTCTCACTAATCGTCATACCTGGCAAAGTGCTACCTGGCTCCCTTTTCACTGAGGAAACCAAAGCAATCAGAGGGGAACTTCCACTAAATACCACCACCTCCCTGCACCCGTGCCATCATCGCCACCTTGCCACAGGCGACTATGAGTGACCTGTATCTCAATCAAGGCCAATTCTTCCATTTTCTCTCTAGATCCCATTCCCTCCTTCCTTACAAGAACGTTTTTCCAGCTGTTATCCCCTCTGCCTCCTGCATCATTAAATTCTCTCTCTTTGGGTCGTCCTCATGAGCATGCAAACATCTGTAGTTTCATATATATATAAAAGTAAACTTCTTAACTTCATTCTCCTCTCCGGGTGATGACATGTTCCCTTTATTCACTGTCTAAAACTCCTTGAAAGAATTGTCTCTATTTGCCATCGCCAAAAGAATTCTGAACATACCCTTGGTCAGATTTTTTTTTCCTTCACAACCCAGCAAAAAACCAAATTGTCATTAAGGATACAATTAAGAATATCTTTTTTGACGCATACCTTCTCGGTCTTCATCTCCATCATCCTTCAGTTATTAGCAACAATAGGCACCGTCGATCGCTCCTACTTGAAACCCTCCCTTTATTTTGGCTTCCAGAACACCACACTCAGCCCGTTTCCCTCCTAACCCTCAGTCCTCTCCTTCGTATCCTTGTCACCTGACCTGTGCAATGTACACATTGAGTGCCAGGTCTCCATCCTTGGGTCAGTTGTCATTGCTGTCCATGCTCACTTTCTTTTATGATCTCATCCAATCACGTAACTTGAAAGATGGTCTTTAGGTTGATTAGTCCAGCCTGTGACCTCTCCTTCATTTTCAGGCTGCCCGCTTAATAGAATTGCCAGGTTTATCAAATAAAAATATAGGACATCTGGTAAAATCAGAACATCATACAAATGATGAATAATTTCTAGTATAAGTATGTACCATAAAAATATTTGTTTTGTATTTATCTAAAAATAGTTTTTGCATTTATGTGAAATTTTAATTTAACTGGGTGTCCTGTATTTTATCTGACAATGTTATCACTCAGTATCTCCGTATCTCCACTTTGAAGCCAAGAGGCATCTCAAATATGAAATATCTGAAACCGAGCTCCTGACATTCCCTCCCACACCAGTTCATGGTGCAGCAGTGCTCATCTCAGGGAAAGGCAACCTCATTCTTCTAATTGTTTAAACCAAAAACCCTGCAACCATCTTGAATATGTCTTTTCTTCAAATCTCAGCTAACTTATCGTCAAATATTGCATATTTAGAATCCGACCTTTTCTCATGGCGCTGATGCACCGCCATCTCTAGCCTCCTAATCGGCCTTCCTGCTTCTGCCTCTACCCTCCTTCTGTCTGTTCTCAAAATAGCCACCAGAATACATAAATGGATGGATAGGGTTAGTGTCTATACAAAGTAGGCAATTGTTTTAAAAGATAATACCAACCTTGGATGAAAAATCTTTAGAATTAAAGAAATACTGACTTCAGTCTTGTACAAATTGTTTTAAATAACTTTTTTACAAATAAAACTCTGCTGCCCACTAAAGGTTTTTCTTCCAAGGTTGATAGGACGGTAAGCCACCTTAACGTATTTATATCATACTGCAGGGAAAATGCCAAGGTTGAATTCTTAAGAAGATTATAGGAAATTTAAAGATCAACAACTCAGATGGCTATTAAGTGGCCGTTTTTCTCTCCTGTTTTCTTAAAAATAATTATAGATAACACTTATTGGCCATTTACTGTGGGACAGATCTTTTTCTACATATTTCACATAAGTCTGTACACTCTATCCCCATTCCCACATGAAGAACAGAAAGCTTAAGTGACTTGCCTGGGGCCAGCAGTATAGCTTTGGAGTCCAGCATGCTACATGTAACACAAGCAAATCAAAAGCTCCTTCACCTGGGTTATATAGAATCTTCTGGAAGCTAGAGGCACAGTAAACATGTCCATGTTTTAGTTATTTGGAGGTTGTTTTTTAAGGCCCGTCTCAGCATGGCTTCTTCTTTGCATCCTTAGTTACAGGAGTTCTGTTCAGCTAGTCTTCGGGTGATTCTCAAGTGTGGCTGTTCTATAATTTAGCTGTAATTTTTATGTGGTCGTAAAGGAGAGCACAGTGTTAACCTATTCCACTATCTTGGCCTTGACCGGAAATCTGGAGTTCTTATTTCCTTTAAAAATTCCCTTTGCAATAGTTTATTTCTGATCTGATGTCATCAGAAAAAGAAAGAAAAAAAAGATGTCAATAACCCTGAAAATATGAATTGGCTATTGAAATTCACATACCGATACACACACACATACATTCTCAGAGTTTAAAAGGGCTGTTATGTTGACATCTACAGTCTCAACCTGCAGAGATATGCTTAGAAGATTAGAACTTAGTAATTACGCTTTTCTGTGACTCCTTGAAATTATGTTGGTTAAACAATGCAATCATATTGTGAAACCCAACGGTTATTACTGATGAGTTAAATACCATGGCTTAGTATTATTAGGGGGTCTCTCATGTGGTGCTTAGGAGGATTAGGCAGCTGTCCTCTGTCTCTTTTGGAATCCCACAGACCCAAGAAGAAGGCTGGCAGGAGCCCATGATGGAATTCATCCAGAGGAGAACTACATTCCTCACATCCTTTACTGGCCACACAGGGGGCACTTTTCCAACCTGAACAAAGACATTCAGTAAAAATTCTGATCAGCAATGATGAGTCAGCAGTTCTGGAGTTTAATCTTGACTGTGCTCATCATCTGGACATAGAAAATTTTATCTTTATTCAGAGCCCTGGGATTTCTCAAGAAGAGTAGCTCACGCAATTATTTATGGATCATGTCACATGGTGACAACAGAGTACAGTGGCTGTGGTCATGTGGGCTTTTGGCCTCACTCTCAGACAGGCTTTGTTTATTTTTAATGAAAGAAACTAGATTAAATAAAGCCAGTTGCCTTGGATATAATTTTACCCAGGAGGGAGAAGAGAGAGAGTATTGTATATTTGATGTCAAAACATCATGTTGATTCACTTAAAAGACAGAAATAGCCAAATTAATTTTTTGTGCTTCATAACAGCAAAACAAGTGATTAGTAGACTGTTTTTTGTTCACTTTCCAATTATTAAGCACTATATATTCTTCTGTGAAGGAAGCAGAAGATGACCATTATATTGGCTAGACTCAATTAACTCTAGTTGACTTTTTAACTAAATTGAAGACATGCCCTATTTTTTCACCTTAAAGTAATACCAGTAGTTGATTAATGAAATCATCAAAAATCAGGGATTGATTCTCTCCACATTTTGTTTCTAGTAAAAGACGTTTTGGCAGTATCCATTAGGAGATTGGAAAATCCAAATGCTACTAAACAAGTCAGCATATTTAGAAAGACATTCTTGCCACATCGTAACACTGCCTGTTGCACTGGTCACTTTCAGCCCTGTTGGTGTTTAGAGAGAAATGTTTGCGCCCTGACCACACCCACTAAAGAATGCATAAGGCAAAGTGTTTGCAAAGGTTATTTGCAGTATTTATTGAATATTTCCTGTAGCAAAATGAACCCTACTCTAGCCAATGTTTCACTCAGTTCAGAGTTTCTGCTGGTAGACATTGTGTAAAAGCTTATACTAAGTGGTAGCAAAATGTCTTATGTTTGATGAGATGAAAAGTGCACTTTAACATTAAAATTTCTTTTAAGAAGTATGATTGTATTAAAATATGCTCATAAATTATTTAATACATCTCCCCTGAAACAGAGGAACTCAGTCTCCCTTCTCTTAAGACAGGGCTATAAATACTGACTTACTTCTAACAAATGGAATACTTCAGAAGTGACAGTGTGGAACTTTCAAGGATGAAACATAACAGGCATTGTGGTTTCCTTTCTAGGATTTTCCACTCTGAACAAAATTGAACCAGCCTGAGACATACCAACTGAAACCAGGGCATTAAGGTATGTCATAATATTTTAAAGGTTGATATATTTTTTATTAATATCGTCCTATGATGCCAGAGGAATGAAACCTAAATTGACAGATCATTGGATTGGACTGTCTGCGATCTTCCTATCCAGCTACCTCTCCTTTAATTCACTCTCTAACCTTTGTTATCTCCAAATAACTTTCCCCCCAAATATCTATTCTTCATCTTACCGAATTAGAGCAGTATTGTATTTATTATTCTAGAAACACCATGGACTTTGGGGTCAGAAAGATCTGGGTTCAAATCTAAATTCAAATTTTCACATGAAAGTTGCTATAGCATCTTACCAAAAAAAAATGTTTAACCCCTTTCAGCCTCACTTTTCTTTCATATAATGTGGGATTCATAATACTTATTTCCTACTGTTCTTGTAAAGATTAAGCAAAATAATATATATGAAACTTTGCTCAGGGCTTAGTCACATTTGGCAACTCATATATTGAAAGGAATGGTTGTTCCTGTTACTATGATTATAACTTAATACTTGCTCTCTTCTATTTGCCCCTTCTAAAATGCAAGCAGATAAAAGGGTGAGTTACTGCCTTTCTATATCATATCTGAAGGAAGATAAACAGAATTGTCCAATGAATTATTCTGGAATCTCAGGCTGCATGGCAATCAGCCCTTTGAAATTTGGGGCTTTGTCTCTCTTTGGTCAGTGTAGAGGGATTTACATGCTCTTGATAGAAGAAGCTGCCCCTGAACTCAAGCACTGAGCTCAACTTTCCGTGGGAGTAGCAGAGAGGGACTTCCCTCACCATTCAGCCTGAAGCCCCTTCCTGTGAGATTATCCAACACCAACACCCAGTGTTATCAGACAACGGCCTCTACTTAGGCTTTTTGGTGGCAGAGTCCTGACTGGTGACTAGTAGACATGCACAAGGCTGTTCTTACTATAAAAAATGTGATAAGGGACCAGGCTTCATTCTATGGAGCATAGCACCGTAACGTGTCCAGAAGTATCTTGAATGTGTCTGTAAGATAATAAGAGAATGGAAATTGTGTGCCTCCTATAATGATTCTGGGCTTTTATATTTCCCTAGTAAAGTCTGACTTTTACATCCATACTCTGTGGTGCCATCACACATCTTGCCTGTCTGAACAAAACAGATAAAAATCCTTGCCCTTGGAGTGTATATTTCATTGAGAGAAAGGAAACAAAAACAGAATATGAAATAAGTAAAATATCTTATATGTATATAGAAAATACATATTTACATATATGTGAATGTGAAAAATATGTATTAGGTGAAGATAAGTGAAGAAAAATGAAGTAGACTGTAGGAGTGGTGGAAATATATACACATCTCATAAATTGGTAATTTACTAAAAAGTATGCTTACCTACCTCAACATATGCTCTAGAAGACATCCACAGTGAAGCTTGTTCCAGTAATGGTTAAAGTAAAAAAGAAAAAAGAAAGGTCTAAATGTCCATCTGGTCACCTGGTAGTGATCTTACAACAGAAAGATCACTGTCATCAAGTATGGGTGATGGATGGAAGAGAGGCAAGTTTGACACCCAGGAGCCTTGGTGGAAGATCATTGAGGTAGTTTAGACAAAAATGATAATTACAGGTAATAATTTTGGGTTCTTACCATGTGCTGGGTGATGTCCCAAGAATTTAAATGTAACTCATTTAATCCTCACGACTCGATGTAGTAGATATTATTAGTGTCCGATTTACAGATGAGAAAACAGAGGAAAACCAAGGTTGGGGGACTTCCTGAGATGATACCTTAGTAGTAAAGACTATGCCCTGTGTTCTCAGCAACCATAAGAACAGGAAAAGCATGAAGAATTCCACAGGAGAATTTTTCTGGGGAAAAATTCAGTTTCCTTCTTCCTAGTTGCCATCATTTGTGTTCTCTGATTCCTGAGAAAAGCTGCTGCACAGAGAATAATTGTATATAAAAGGAATTTTAATAGTAATGTTTGAGAAGGTAGTGTTTTCCTGCCCCACAGTCAGCTGACAGAAAAAAGCTCCATCTTCACCAATGCCTGCTTAGAGCAATTTGTCTGCTCTCCTACTTAGGTTTAGAAATATTTGGAGGAAAAACATGAGTTTTATTATTATCATAAAAATATAATAGTCTCCCATCTGCTCTAACGAGAGAAATGTCATTAAATGCTAAATTCTGAAGGCTAAAAGTTTAACAGTGGGATTTTTCCCTTTGTATTTTTTCCTGTATATGTTTTCATGTTAGTGTTTTTAGCTCTTGATTTACTTCCAGGTTACTTTTTAGTTATTCCATTATCGTTATCATCATCTCATAAATCTAACATTTTAATGAGATGCCAATGGCTTTAAATCAAGCACTAAGTGTTTTAAATTATAATGGGCCTGGATTTCTTTTTTTATTGCAACCCTCCTTTTCCGTTCAATTATGAGATCAAGTGTGTGCTATCTAGTAAGGTTATTAGTTCCAAGACTTATAAAACTGCTATCCTTATATCAGAAATCACTTTGTACATGTCTATAGCAAGGCTATTGTCAATTTTGAACATAGCATGCCTTCTCTTAATTTCACCTTTACTATGTTTATCTTTAGACAGAACTTATTCATTGCTTGGCTGAAAAAAAGAAAATAAAAGAATCTTTTGGATAGATTATTGGATTTATTGGTCTAATCAAATCCACTCTGGAAAAATAAAAACCTTATTTAGTCATTAAATATTAAAATACAGTATGTTTGTTTTTACAATTTTACCTCATGAGCTTTATGTTACATTGAAATTTTAAAAACTTCATAAACTTTCCTACCTTGAAATAACTATACTGTTCAGCTATAAAATAGTTTTACTTCTTCCTAGAGTATCTCAAACATGTCAAGCCTTAAAATCCTGTGACATTTCTCTGTGTGTAAGCAGGAAATAATCATAACACAAATTCATTCTCAACCCGCCCTAGTCATTGGGAAAATTGAGAAACATATCCTTCTGTGAAAAATGAATGCCCAAATTTCCACAAACTATGGAAAATCACTAAGAATGATTTCTATTTCTTCTGTGCAATCACCTGGAAGAAAGGGCAGGCCTTAATGACAGAAAGACCTGGGTTCAAGGCTCACCTCTGCCCCTTATACTGTGAACTTAGAAGAGTCTTGTTTTTCCTTTTTAATTTTTGTTAGGCTAAATTTCCTTGCCTGCATTTGTAAGTATGGGATAAGTTGTAAGAGCTCGAGAGTTGTAAAGAAAATTAAATAAAATCAAGTAAGTATTTAGTGTGGTGCCTAGAATATACTAAGAAGACCATAAATGGCAGATATCATTATTTTACTCTATTTTTTAAATCTCTTCCTTCATGATATCCTGGGGTTCAGTTTTCCATGCATGCATGGTGAGTTGGAGAGGAATATTGCCTCTCCAAACAGAAATACTTTACTTGAATGTCCCAGGAAGCCAGATGCTAGGCACCATCACAAAGACAACATGACCAGCATATCAATATAAAGCATGATTTAATATGCAGATAGTGCACAGAGTGGATTTCAGTGTATATCATATCATAAATTAACCCTGCTTACAGAAATAAAAAAGATCACAGGAGAACACTATGAACATTTATATGCCAACCAATGAGATAATCTAGATGAAATGGACAAATATCTAGAAATATAAATTATCAAATTGGTCCAAGAAGAAATATATAACCAGCAATGAGATTGACTTAGTAATGTGACCTTTTATGTCTGGTTTCTTTCACATGTATCATTTTGTTTATATAAAATATCCAGAATAGGAAAATTTATAGCAAAGGAAAGCAGATTGCTGGTTGCCAGGGGCAGAGGGAGGGGAGTCTAGGGTGACTGCTTAATGAGTATGGGATTTCTTTGGGGGTAATAAAAGTGTTTTGGAATTAGAGGTAGTGATGTTACAACACTGTAAATGTGCTAAAACCCACTGAATTATGCACTTTAAAATGACTAACTTTATATTATGTAAATTTTGCCTCAATTTTTTAAAAGTAAAAAAGAAAATAAAAATTAACCCTACCCCTAGGAATCCACACCATCTAATGGCATTTTCTATAATCAAAAACCCTGTAAATATCAGCACCCCACACTTATCCAAAGGCAAAATCTAGTCACTATGACCAGGTACAGGATTATTTCTCGACTCTTCCTCAGGTTTCTGGGCTCTGAGTCAAGCAGAACAGCCCTAAACTCCCTTGAGTTAAGCACCTCTCCCAGAGTCTCCATTTTTTTCTCTTACATGTATCATCCTAATTCCCATCACCATCAATCCCCACAACAAAAGAGTTCAGAGAGCTATCTAACTGTTTCATTCTAGCCCTGAATGTAAGCCTGCAGCATTAAAACAGAAGCCCGATGACAATAAGCTGCTCCGGGTTACCCTCACACACACCCCTCTGTCACACAGCCCCTGCCCCGCAGCCCAGGATTCCCTCCACAGTCTAGCCAGATAAGCTTAAATATCCTTTTATTCCTAAAGCCAAACTTACTCAACTAGATTACGTGGCTTTACAGCTCTGCTCCCGAGCATTAATTCTTTTTGAGACTAAATATATTCAATAGTATTATTTAAAGCCTGCTTGGCTTAAGTTAATTTCTGATCCTCTTCTAGGAGTTTCTGGCTTTGGGCTTTAATTAATCTCTGCTAAGAATGTTAAACCCCGTCTTTGCCACCCTCCCTTATTTAATAAGCTTAAAAATGCTAACACAGCTACTCCAGTCCATAGCATTATGTCTGTGTCCAAATATTTGGTTTGTAAGAAGGAAGGTGAAAGGGCTGCATAAAGGAAGGGCATGGTTTTTGAACTTCATGAAGGAAATTACTAAAGTGTAATACTGGAAAGACTTGTAAAATTTTTGGTTCAGAAATGTTGGGCCAATAGTTTGCACAAAGTGAGTTAGCAGAAGGGTTTAAGCATATTTCAGTCACCAAGTAGTAAAATCACCACCCTCACAGAGGCCTTTGGTTTGGAGAGAGTCCTGTAGGACTAGGAAA